TAGGTGGTGCAAGAATTGTTAAACTTTTGTTGGAAAAAATATCTCAAAAACAAAAAAATAGCCATTAAGTGCTTTTTTTAACTAAATATTCTTTAAGTCTTGTTTAGTGGCATATTTAGACACCTTTCGCCGGTTGTCCAAAACCACCATCATCATGTCTTAGAGCCTGTTTTTAGAACGTGCCCTTCCAATGAAACCCTGCATCAATTTGATGCCATTAACAACTGCTGATTGAAATATACTGGATGCAAATGTATAGAAAGATCTATTGTTGAGATTTTTCTCCAAATTTCTTCTTTCGATGAGAGAATTTCATCTTTGGTCATACTAAGATGGGGAAATAAAATTTGAGAGGGGTTTGGCCTGTGTGAAAGATTCTGGCTGTTTTTTGTCAAAGCTGTTTATCTCTAGAACATCATTCTTTAACAATTAAACAAGAATATCCATCCTCTTTTTCTTTTCTAAGCGCTGGTCAGTTAAAGCAAAGAAAAATATTTAATATTATTATCATTTTCTGTCATTACTCAGAAAAAATAAAGAAAAAAAAATGCCTGTAATTTATAAAGTGAAGCATCATACCTGCATATTAGCCAAAGAAATAGACTATAGTGTAAAATACCTGAGAATACTAAGATTAAGAGCTTAGCTAATCTTTCGGTACTTCTTGGAGTAAAGTGGATCTATCATGATCAGAAATGATCATGAGCTGCCATTGGGCTCTTCAGAAAGAATAAACAATGAAAGATCACACTACAATCTGTTGCACCTTGTATCATTTTAATCTCATTGATACTAAGTTGCTTGTTGTAATTTTTGGTCATTTTGCATTGCTAACAGATACAATGAATCAACCATAAATCTTGCTTCATGATGTGCACCAGATTGTATAAACCTGAAGTTCAACAAATCTGCTCTGAGGTAAAAAAGCAACCAGTTGACATAAATACTTGTAATTCCCTCACTCAAAAATCGTTTTAAAAACATACCGTGCCCACTGGGCTGTTGTGGAGAACTGCATTGTTTCATTTGCAAGATTGTAAAAAAGGTTTTAAGAGAAAACTCAGGTCTGTTTGAATCAAATTTTTTAATGTTAGCCAATATATTCACACCTTTTCGAATCTTAGGCCAAAGATCTTGATATTTTTTGTATAAGGAATGATTGGGTCGATTGTTTCTCCCTGTAGTTCCATCATAAAATGATGAACATGTCGTTTTATTATATGGTGCCTAAATTTAATATTATTATCATTTTCTGTCATTACTCAGAAAAAATAAAGAAAAAAAATGCCTGTAATTTATATAGTGAAGCATCATACCTGCATATTAGCCAAAGAAATAGACTAGGTAGAGAATAAATTGCAATACATCTAATTACACCATTATGTTTTCCAGTGTTCATGCAAGTTGTGTCAGCACAACAAGCTATGATCTGGTCTGATAAGTCATAATATTCCACAAAACTTTGGATACCCAGTGCTTAATCTTTCCCTTTGGATGAGGGTACTTTAAGTATTCCCAAAAGCCAAGTGAACCAGATTCTAGAGAGGAAACACTAATTGCCAACCTTTCCACTGTTTCCGAAATCTTGACCTCCGCCCTGTACTATTTGACCAACTTTGTGTCAAACTGAAGAACAAGTTTTAAACCCCTAATCTTATCCAGGTTCTGGATAAGATTAACTTGATACACTAACTTGATACCCAAAAAACAAAAGAGCATTAAAATTTTTAAATTATGTAACATTTAAGTTGTTTTAATTTGAAGTTCTATATAAATTAGTAATATACTTCACTTTTTTATAAACAAACTTGTTTTTCTTGTCATAAATGGAATCCACTTATTTAAAACATCATTCAGACTGAGTTGAAGGCAAATCTTTGTTGAACCATACAATTTTTTTTTCTTTGCAGTAGAAGTCATAAAGTCTGAATCATAACCTGTTTCCACTACCCACTGGTGAATTCCTGCTTAAAATTTCTCAAAGCTTCTTCATCTGCTGTTTTATCAAGTAATTGGCTTTCTTTTTTTTTGGTCAACAAGTCCTTTTTGGCTCTCAGTCCTCCTGTTGCTCTTCTTCTACCATCACCCTCAGCAGGTTTTTCTTCATTTCTTCAACTTCAGCAACTATTTCAGCAAATGCTTTGTCATTTTTGTAAGAAAGCTTGCTTCATTTTTACTCCTTCTAGGATCCTGGCTAACTTGAAAAAATATTTGCCTTGTCTAAGAACTCTTGAGTGTGTTGGCTCATGGTTTCTATGCTCATCTCTAACGTTCTCATTTTTAAAACTTTAATATACTGAATATACAGAGCAATGATTCTATTCCTGAATTAAAAAAGTACAACATTAAAAAATGACAACATTAAAAAAATGTTAACATTTTAAAATATAACATAATAATATATTAAAATAATAAATACATGTAAATATATTTCACAGATTAATATGTTTTAGAGAATACTTAATTTTTATGACAAGAGATTTTTATATTAAGTTGCTTGACCGTTCACAGATAATAAAATATTTCATCAAAGCCTGCCTTGTTCCAAATGTTAACCAGCAAATGTTAAGATGCACACATTTGATATTTTGTTTCTGCTATCAGCATAACACATACCACCACTGCATTTAAGCTTGTCTGTTCACCCCAGAGGACATCCAATTTTGCATGACATTATTAGATTGCAGTTGCATGACTCCAGTTAATCCAGTAAATTCTGCAACAAACTTCCCCACCAGTTGGGGAAGTTTTGAATTGGGGAATTCTATTTGGAGAAAATATCTGGAGAGGGTATCCCAACAGATAAAGAATTCTTCTTTAACTAGTATTTTATGTCCTGCACTAGCCATATTAAATATTATTTTCTATATCAAATACAACAGAATTGATAAAAAAATATGTTTTACATATACTTTTTACATATATGTAAAAATTGTCATTGAGTAATTAAATTTATATTACTCAAATTGGAATTAAGTAGCAGTATACAATATATAATATAAACAATATATGGTATAATAGTACTGTATTTCTGTATGTATCCACAGTTTTTCAACATCCTTATGACTGATAATTAATTAAAAATTTATTTCTTATATTTCTAAATTTATTTGCAGAGTTTTATCATAAAATGCAAAAAAAACTCTGCAAACTCATTAAAATGTATATGAAGTTTTTTTCTAAAACGCCTGTTTAGCTTAACAATGACTTTAAAGCCAGATATATATATATATATATATATATATATATATATATATATATATATATATATATATATATATATATATATATATATATATATATATATATATATATATATATATATATATATATATATATATATATATATATACAATATATATATATATATATATATATATATATATATATACAATATATAAATATAAAATATATATATATATAAAATTTTGAAGAGCGATCCAACCGACTAACCGTAAACCGCCTAACCGTCGCATTAGTCCTCTTCCTATCATAAGCAAGGGTTTTGAGTCTTTAATTAAAAAACGCTTAATCTCTCATCTTAAATCTAATAACTTTCTAATAATCAATACGGATTTCGATCTTTATGTTCTACTGCTGATTTGTTAACTTTAATAAAAGATAAATTATTACTTTTAACAAATTATTTATTTAACAAACAAATTTATTAGTTAACGGTAATAAATATTTTTTTGTGCATTTGATCTGGAGATAGTAAGGCTATCGCTCTCAACATTTCTAAAGTCTTTGATAAAGTTTTGCATGACGGTTATAGTCTTTTTTTTTATGGTGTATCAGATGACATCTTTAAAATTATTGAATCCTTTATAACAAATGGTAGTATAAAAGTTGTCCTTGATGGACAGCAATCTTCTCTTTTTCCTGTTACTTCAGGGGTTCTATACTTTTTTTAATTTACATTAGCAACCTCCCAGAAATTCTCACATCTAAGCTGGCATTGTTTACCAATGATACTACCATTTATTCTTTTCGTGTTAAAAAGCCAACAATATCTGATTGCTTTAAGGCGGGATTTGAGCTTTAAAAAGATCTCACTTTTGCTACAGTATGGGGCTTTCAGTGGCTGGTGAACTTTAACTCAGATAAAACTAAATTATTTTTAGCTAATTGTTATTGCTACAATCTAGATCCTCCTCAAGTCTCATCTTTTTATTGTGACTGTTCCTAAGTGTTCCGAAAATTCTCATTTGCCTAGTTTTTTCCCTCAAACATCATCTCTTTGATTTTTCTCCATTCTTCTTATTTTCCTGATTTATATAATTCGCGATCTTTTAAGTAGTCTGTTAATTGTTATCTTGCTTTATAAACTTCATCTTTTCTCTTTTCCAGTAACTTTTAGCTCTATTAGTGGTTGCTTGCAGCCTTGTAGGAAGTGAAAAAAAAAAAATAAGAAAAAAAAGAAAAAAAAGTTGTTTTGTAAAATCATAAAAATAATAAAAAACAGCCATTTTGATTGTTTACCCTTTATGGTTTTCAAAAAGTTTAGGCTGACTGATTTTCACTTAAATTTGACATTTATTTGTTTTAATTAAGCAATTTTCACTTTAATTAGTCATTTTTTCATTTTAGTTTGGCCTTTCTTACTTTAATTTGTCCTTTTTTTACTTTTATTAGGAATTTATTTGTTTTAATTTGTCAATTTTCATTTTAATTTGGCCAATTTTCATTTTAATTTGATTGATAAAATTTTTGTGCCAAATTAAAATGAAAATTGACAAACTAAAATGAAAAAAAAACAAAATAAAGTGCAAAGTGCTAAATTTTAAATCAAAAAATACTTAATTAAAGTGAAAATTGGCCAACTTAAACTCAAAAAGGTATGGTATACAAATCGAAAACTAAAAAGGAAAATAAAATGAAACATTTAGGCATATATTTAAAAAATAATAAAAAACTCTCACCTCTTCCATTAAAAATTAAAAAAACAAAAATCTCTCACCACTTCCATTTAAAATTTAAAAAAAATAAAAAGCTCTCACCACTTCCGTTTAGCATTCTACCGTACATTGTTTTCCAAAAATTTTTATCAGTATGGCTATAAAAAAAAACTTTGAGCAAAAAAACAAATAATGATAAAATAGCAATATGATTATGATACAAATAACTGAAGAACTAATCAAAAATAATTAAAAAAAAAAGAAAAAAAAAGAAGCTAAAATAATAAGTTGAACAAACTTATTCAGCTCCTCACCTTGACTCCTCTTCTCTACTCTTCCCTTCAACACCTCTTATTGAGTCCTCTCCTCCTTTTTACCCTTCTCTATTTCATAAATTTTATTGATCTCCATAAATAAACTTATTCAACTACTCTCCGTTTATTAACTAAATCATTCCACTCTTCTCCATTCTAAAAAAATTCTTCTTCTCTAGACTGCTCTACATTTTAATAACAAATTTCTCTCAGACTTCTCTTGATTTAATAAACTTATCGAACTCCTTTTAACTTAATAACAAATTTACCCAATTCCTCTCAATTTAATAACAAATTTACCTAACTCCTCACAACTTAATAACAAACATACTCTTCTCTATTTAATAAGAAACTTACTTTAATCCTCTCCATTTAATAACCTTTTGAACATCATTAATATTCGATTTTCCAGTAAGTATTGTAATATTTCCAATGCTTTCAGCTTCTTTTGTCCCATTATGCTGTAAAAATCATAAAAGTTTAAACTATAAGAAATTAAAAAAACAAAAAAATTATTTCTAAAGGGTAAAATCACTAACCTGCAGAACAACATAAGGATCAATTTTTTCAAGATTTAAAAGATCAGCAATAAATTTTGGAATCTTATCTTCTAGCATTCTAATGTTTGTTAGAAAAGAATCCTTATATCCCCATAACATTTCATAAACTGAACGATATTGGAAAAGAGAAACTTTTTGTTTATACTGATAAATATTAAAAAACGTTGCAACAAAAATTAGTTCAGCACTGTTCAAAGCATTCATTTTATTCAAAATTGTCTAAAAATAAAAATATAGTGGTCACAGTTGTTAAAAATATGTTTTTAAATAAGTGGCTACTTAATCTAAATATTTACAGGGGTAAATAATTTTCTTTTTAAAAAATACTTCAAATCAACATTTAAATCAGTTATTTAATTATTATTAAACCATATCATCAAGAACTAGAAAAAATGCAGAGGTTTTAAAAAATAGTAACACTGAAACTGATGCTTAGATTGATAACTTTAAAAAAATGATGGACAGTTAGTAAATATATAAAAAGTATCATTTCATATCATAAAGTCAATCTACTTGCAACATTTAAAAACTAAATTAAAACAAAAACGAGCTTCACCTTTCGAAAAAAAATTAAAATAAAATGTAGCATAATAAGCAAGTGTCAAATTTGGAGTCAGTAAAATAAACGCGATTTTCTAAGCGCATTATACAGACTTGATAATTTATTCAAGTTCTTTTAATTCATAGAAGTTTTAGTACATGATGTCATTGGAAACATTCTAGAAATTGAAAAAAAATTTTACTCTTAAATTTTAATAAAATAACTAACTATAGTTAGTTACTAAAATAACTATATTCATTTTATTTTCTAAAATCTTCACATTGAAAAAAACTTTGTTTTTTTTGTAGCTATTAGAGCCGTGGCTACATGGGCCACGGCAATGGTGGAACTAGAGACCCCTATGGCGCCAAATCGAGTTATATATAATATCTCCGATGATTCACGAGTGTGTACTTTTCATTTTGATGCAAGTTGTTTCAACAAATCTAACGAACAATTAATTAGACCAAGCACTAAGAAAAGATATAAAAAATAAGAATATACTAATAAAATATATAATTTGTAATTAACTTTCAAAATTTTGACTATTTAAAAATATATATTATAAAACATTTATTTTTGTAAACAAATAATAATAGTTTAAAAGATTTACAGCTTTGCAGATGTGGCTCCGAGAATGAGCCATAATATTAAAGTAATAGTTCATTTGATAATATATTCTTAAAAAAAAATTATAATAGATATCTCAAAACGCAACAAATCATAAATAATACAATTTCTAAAACATTTTAACAGAATACTCTAGAACTTTATTTTGCTTAGTCAGCGTATTTTTTGAACTAATAGAATTAGTTTGTTCATAAATTTGGCGGGTTTTTAGTGTTCGCGAACATTTCTTTTTATTTTTCCGCAAGAAGTTTTAAGAACATTCAAGTTAATTATGTTTCCATGTATGTCTGTATAATAAAAATTAATATATATTAGTTTTTTAAGCCCCCGCCATAATATATACTTCGAAATATAATAATGGAAATATAAATAATGAAATAAGATCACCTCAATACCAAAAAATACATTTCAAATCAGAGAAAAAATGCGTTAATAATTTTTTCTAAATATTTACTAAGTAAATTAATAAAAGTGCATTATTATTTATGTTAAAAATTATTTTATCTAATATTTTGAAAGAAAAACTGAAACAAAAGAAATCAAAATACATGTGGTCTAGACGATTATTTAAAAAAATTTGCGCAAATAAAATACTATTTTGTTTTTAATTTTTTTACAAACACATTTTAGAACTTTAAAATATAATAAAAATAAATATGATTTGAAAATTGCATGTAAAAAATAATAATCGGTGTTTTAAACAAACAAAAAAATCTATGAAGTCATGTACTAAAACTTCTATGAATTAAACACACTTGAATAAATTATCAAGTCTGTATAATGCGCCTGGAAAATCGGGTTTATTTTACAGACTCCAAATACCGCAAAAAATGTGGAGAAGACAAGCTTTGACTAAAACAACAAGATTTGTTTTTCTTGGTATACATTTATTAATTAGTTTTAATAAAAAAAAATTTGCTCAGATGTTTTTTTTTAACATTCTCTTTAATATGAACACAACATGTCTCGGGACTTGGTAGTCCCTTTAAGGAGGTTATGTACTAAAATTTTTGGTTTTTCTTAAAACTTAATGTAGGAAAAAAATTTTCAATAATAGTATATCATCTTTAAAAAAAGATATCATATTAGGCTGATCTTAGACAAGAATTGTTTTGATTTAAGGTTAAACTTTTAAAGAACCTTGTTTTATTCAATTTGATGATCCTAATACTGGTGCTCAGCCCATGCAGTGTGATAAAGCAGCTTGGTTACCAGACATTTAGACAAAGCTCAATAGTAATTTAGTACAATATTATACCCTAACATAGCACCTGACAAAATACGAGCAACTTTAACCATACTGGAGTTGAATTATATTCCAATCAACCCAGTCAAATGGATTCAAATTGTGGTGAATTTGTGATACTGAAAATTCTTATTCACTCAATGGACAGCTTAAGACTGGAAAAATGATTACTGCTCATTGGTTGCAACTTTTTTTAGAGTTTTCAAAGATTTGGTGGCACCATACAAAAGATCCAAGTTATGTAGAACATAAAAACTGACAACTACTTTACCACTCTGCCATTGGGAAAATTTTTACTATCTTGGGATTTAATTGTTGGCACTTGAAAAATAAGGCATACATTCCATCAGCAATGAATATATTGAAAACAAAAGAATAATTGGTTACTGTGTTTGGTTTTCAAGAAAAAGTAACCATGGTCTGGTTAATAACTGGTCATAAGGTGGAGTAAAAAGATGGATAATGTGCTTGCAAGATATACTACAAAAAAAATTCTCTTTTTCTACAATGTTCTTAATGGCGCAGCTTTGCAGCATTAATTTTTTATTATGAGAATAAATAAGTGAATAATAAAGAACCATAAAGTGCTTTTATCGGCAACTGGGCAAAAAGTTGTATTTTTCAAAAATTGTTTTCATAATCTTTAATTATGAGACATTTCACAACAAGTGGCAATAGAAAGTTTTTTAGGTAAAGCTATAAACTCATATGCGCAACCAAGAATAACCAGCTACAGCTTGATTTAACTGGGTGAAAAAATATTACAGGTGTATGCTATGTTTGTCTCCAGGGGAATCAAATAAACATCACAAAATTATAAAATTATGTTTTGTATATGAGCTCCCAGTTTGCAATAAACATTGTAGTTCAACTACGACATATGGGAAGCTATACAAATTGATTAAATTTACTTGTTTATATTTAAATGATATTTAGTTATTATAAATTTAAAAAAAAAATAGATTAAGTGAAAAAATAAAAAAATAAACAAATGAAATGTTTTTTTAAAAATATCTTAACTATTATTTATAAAAAAAATTGTTAAAATAAAGGAAATAGCAAAAGATATTATACAACCCTCGAAATTAGAAAAAATGAGGTCGGCAATAATTTGCTGACCTTATTCGTTTTGAGGTCGGCATCAGGCCGGCAAAAATTATTTGATACAAAGGTCTGACCATAAAACATAGAAACGAGGTTGGCAAATTTTTTGCCAACCTCAAATACTTTCAGGTCGGCAGAGACAATGGGGACAGTCTTTCATTTATAACAGAAAGGTTTTTCTCCTAAAAAATTTGTTTTTATTTCCCGATTTTATTATTGCTTTTATTGAAATTTCCTGACACTATTTTTTTTTTTTTTTTCTCAACATCTTCACTTCTAACAAGACTGCAAGCAACCACTATTAGAGTTGGAAGTTACTGGGAGAGAAAAGATAAAGTTTATATAGCAAGATAATGATTGACAGACAACTTGAAAAATTGCAAATTATATGAATCAGGAAAACAAGATAAAGGAAGCGAATTCCAAAGAACTGTTGTTTGAGTAAATAAACTAGATGAATAAAAACTTTTGGAGCACTTAGGAACAGTCACAGAAAAAGAATGAGAGTTAATTGAATGACGAGTAACACGAGAATGAATTTTAGTAGATGGCACAAAAGACGGAAGCAGTGCCGATTATAGTATTTATAGAATAGAGGAAGAGAAGCAACATTACGACGATAATGTTGCTTCTCTTCCTCTATAAGTGTCGGAGGTTGTCTGCAAGAGAAAGTCCAACTATGTTTATAATGCATATTTGCACCTTGTTTAAAAAAGAACGGGCATCATTTGAATATTAGCCCCAGATATGGCAACAGTATTCCATACAAGGACAGAGTTGAGATTTATAGAGATAAAGAATAGAATCCTGAGTAAGAAAATGGTGAACACAATAAAGAGATGCAACCTTAACAGATGCTTATTTTGCAACTGATTTGATATATGGTTGCAAGAAAGATCCGAGGTAAGAGTTAATCCTTGAAAATGAAGGGTAGATGACTCATCGAGTCATCTACCCTTGATCTTCAAGGATTAACTCTTACCTTCATAGGAATATCTAGATTATTGCGATAACGCTTAGTTAAAAAAAAATTGAGTTTCATCTGAGTTAAAGTTCAACAACTATTAAGAGCCCATGCTGCAGCAGAAGTGAGATCTTTTTTAAGCTCAAATGCCCCCTCTAAGCAATCAGAGAGTGTTGGCTTCTTATCAAAACAAAAAAAAAATGGTAGAATCATCAGCGAACCTTAGATGTGAGAATTTTTGGAAGATTGCTAATGTAAATTAAAAAGAGTATCAGCCCAGGGTAGAACTTTGAGGAAACCCTGAAGTTATAGGATATGAAGAAGAATGCTGTCCATGGAGGACAACTTTTACACTACAATTGGTAAGGGAGGATTCAATAATTTTAAAGACGTTGCCAGATACACCGTAAGAAGTAAGCTTATGGAGAAGACTAGCATGGCAAACTTTACCAAAAGCTTTAGAAATGTCAAAAACGATAGCTTAGTGTAAATGTGCAACATTTATCTGTTTTCTATTATCAATGATTTTTTATCTAATAAATCCCCTTGTTTCTTTCTTCCAAACTTTATGTACTTTATTTACCATCCAATAGTTTTAAATTTCTCAAACACACTTGTTGTCTTGAAAATAAGGATCAAATTTGTTGTTTTTCTGAGGACAACACATGCTTTCCTTGAAACTCTAGCTTTTGTCTGATAACAGATATAAGTATTACCAGACCAAAAATATTATGTAGAAAATTTAAATATAACTTTTAGTTTTAAAATTTGAAACTAAAGAGAACAAATGTATATTATAAAATGTAAATAGAATAATACAAGTGTATATTATAAAATGTAAATAGAAGCAGGCAGTGACTGTGTGATACATTCAATCAAGAAACGGTAAAAGTAATTTTAGTGTTTGGTATATACATATATTTTAAAAACTATACTTAAACTATAATATTCTTAGAAAATACTTTAACTCGTCATACAATCTTTATTTACAAAAGGTTTGCTAAAACTGCTTATTAAAACTAAAATTAAATTTTGTTTTGTTTTTCACAATAATTGTAAAAAAACATTGTTCCCAACCTTCTGTTCAATTAGCCTTGTCCTACTGTTCCCAAATTTTAAATATAAATATGTTGGGCTAAATTACAAAGATTGGAGAGTATAGTGTTTTTGTTTAGTTATTCCACACAGCCTACTGTGCAGCAGAACCATCTGAAAACAAAGAATTTTAGAATTTTATTTGAAATTTTAGTGTCTGATCTTTATAAACAAAACAAGAGCTTGTTAATTTCTGACATAAAGCAAAACGATTTTACTTCAACCTAATCATCTTTGCTTAATAAATAGAGGACACAGAGTGTAATATACATAGACATTTCTTTTGATGAATTTTCTCTTTTTAAATAAGAAAATGCTTGTTTATTGCCTCTGTTAGTCAAATTGTTTAAATAACTCCTCATCACCATTGTTAAGGAACCATTCATAGAAAGTGGACAGTTATAACACTAATAAACCATGCACTTGTTACTTGTAATATTTGGGTCTTAAAATAAAGAACTAAGAAAATCTATTTTACCAGGCATATCTAGCGAGCTTGTTATCGTTATATATATGTTGTTATCTAGTAAGCTTGTTATTGTTGTATATATAATGTAAAATTCCATTAAAATAAAAGTATGTAATGTAAAAATCAATTAAAATTATTATTTTATTGTGAAATTATTGTGTAATTAATATAAGTAAAACGTTTTAGGTAAAAAAAAAACAAATAATTTTAAGTTTATGACATGAAACCTTTAAATAAACATAATACTGAGAGGACAAGCGGGGTTGTCTAATATCTGCTAAAAGTCAAATAGTCATATTTCCAGATCTATTTGGTGTTTTCAAGGAATTCTAATTTTATTAAGTCCTCTTTGCAAAATCAAAACTGCGAAATCAGAGATATATGGTGTATGAACTAACATGAAATTACTCATTATATATTAATCTTAATTTAAAATTTAATCGTATATTATAATTATAAATTACTAGTAATTTTTATTTTCAATTTAAAATTTAATTTTATATTAAAATTATAAATTACTAATAATTTTTATTTTTAAAAGAAAAATCAATCAGCTATATAAAAAGTTATTGCTTTATTAACAACAAATAGTTTTAAATTATTTTATTTTTTTTAATTTGCAATGTTATCTTCAAGAACATTGTAAAAATAACTATAATTGTTTATTGACTATAAGAAAAGTCTGGAAATAATAATGAATTATGGAACAATAAGTTCCAATTAAAAATCACATTTTAATTTGTTTCAAAATTTAATTCAACTTTAAAACTATATTTCTAAAACTAATTAATTTTAAAACTATATTTCTATCTAATAAATTAAATACTTTTTTTTTTAGGCAGATTAATAAAGAAAATTTTCAAAAAAAAAATTTAAATTAACTTAAAAAATCTTTTATTAATTTTATTTAGAGCAAAATTTACATAATTATATCAATTTTAAAAAATATTTCAACTAACTAAAAACATTAAAACAAATCATGTGACTTAATATATACATTAAATAAATATTAGTTAATTATTTGTTTAGTCATTTTCATATGTTTATAACATGTGAAAAAGAACAAAAACTTTCTTTTTTATATGATGATAAATGATTAACCATTTATAAACATAAAAAATGTTTATAAACATATAAAAAAATGTTTATAAACATATAAAAAAATGTTTATAAACATATAAAAAATGTTTATAAATTATTTACACTAAACAAATGAGCAGAATATATTAGTACAGTGACAATTTTAATCAGCAGGAGTATATACTTATTATATTTATGAAAAATGAACTTCGCTGTAATTAATGTCTTTCATAAGTAAATGATATTATCAGTGACATTTTGTGTAAACCAAAATGTCACTGTATGCAAAATGGATTTAATTAAATGTAAGTAAAACTTGAATTAATAAAAAAATCAGACTGTTATATCAAATTAATAAAACATACTAGCACTGCTATATCTGGGGCCCAAATCATATCACTCTCACTACAATTTTGACAAGATGTTACAGGATCAAAGACATAAGAATAATTTTGCAAGTAGGTTATTTCATAATCATTTTGTTCCACAACCGCATTGATACGTATTTCCCTAATAAAACAGCTTTGAACTAAAAACACAGCTTTCTAATTTTATTAAACGATTTAAAAAAAAAAGGTTTTTATCAATAAAAAAAAAACTATGTATATATAAAATTAATTTTTACTTGTATGAATATGGTCCAATTTGTTGAACTTGTGGTTTACTGCCTTTGGCTAATATATCTGCTACATTTGTGTAATTAAACATAAAATACTGCATATAAACAGGTGATGGTGGTGAATACCAATTATTATATGCTTCATTACCAGGTTTCATAACTAACTCCTGTAAATTTGTAAAAAATTGAAATTTAAAAATACAGTGAAAAAAAATTAACAAAACTGTAGGCGAGTTTTTGTTTTATAAAGTTCCAGTAATATGGCGCGTTTTAAAAAAAGAACGAGGTTTTAAATTTAATATGCGATACATTTTAATTTTATGTATATTAAATTTGCTTTCTTTTTAGAACTAATTAAATTTGAAGAATGTCTTTTTTAATTGTTGTGTCACTGGATGCAGAGGTAACTACGATGTTACTAAGTCTGTAAAAGTTTTTCGCCTTCCAAATAAAAAAAATGTGGATGAATGAAAAAGATGGATAAGTGCTATACCTCGAGATAATATTCCAGATAGGCCAAATACTTGTATTTGTGAAGATCATTTTAAAAAAGTGTTCTTAGGCAACAAGAAGTGATAAAAAGTATTTCAAAAAATATTTTTGGCCAAATTTTGAAAAATGCATAATATTTCAAGTCTAATATTCCAATTCATGGATCTTTTCTTATTACCTTTCTCAAGGATAAAGCAGAACTATTTGCTAAAGTTTTTTTTTTTTTGTTCTTTATCTCATTTCTTGAATCTAATGGCCACATTCTTCCTATCATCTCAAAGGAACAGTTTAATTCATTGTAAAATCTCAAATTTACTCCTGCTTCAGTTGCTAAAGAGATTTTAAGTTTTTAAACTTTAGGTTGCTGGTCTTCTCCAAAGATTTTTTTTTCCACACATCTGTAAAAAATATTTTTCCACACATGTATCTGGGAAAAAATATTTTTCTACAAATCTGTGAACAAATTTTTCTACATTAGTATCTTTGAAAAATATTTTTCCATACACACACATACATATATATATACACACACATACATATATATATATATACACTGTGCATATATATACGTATGTGTGTATATATATGTATATATATATATATATATATATATATATATATATATATATATATATATATTTATATATATATATATGTATTATATATATAAATGTATACATATATATATATATATATATACATATATATACACTTACTAAAGCGTGTTTTGATAAGCATTTGCTCACTTTTTCTGCTTACCTTAAGCCATACTGTTTTTTTCGAAAAAGAAGAAAAAACAGCACTCCACTGCAAGTCAGGCTATTTGTCAGTCGATGTATGTACTGAAGCCCCCAGCAGCAGGCTATTTCAGTATGACATCAGATTGCTTACCTTAGTACGCAATACTATTTGTATATATATATATATTTTATATATATTATACTATTTGTATATATATATATATATATATATATATATATATATATATATATTTTAACATCTTCGCTTCCAACAAGACTGCAAGCAACCACTAATTAGTGTTGGAAGAAATAAAAAAAGATCTATGTAAAGTTTTTTGGCAGATGGAACATGATTCCGTCTGCCAAAAAACTTTTTGGTGTAAATCTTTATTTTATATATCAACAAGATAGTGCTCTTTGCCACAAAGTAAGGTTAGTGACACCATGTTTTAAAGAGTCAGATGTGTCAGATTGGCAACCACAGAGCCCTGATATGAATCCCATAGAGCATTTATAAAAAATTTTATTCCGCAAGATACAAGGAACAAAGCCTGGTTTCAAAGATGAACTTTAGGCTAATCTACAGAAGACCTGAATAGAAATTGCTCCACCTGCCATACAAATTCTTATTGGGTCCATGCCAAGAAATGATAGCAGTTCATAGGGGACATACAAAACATTGGCATTGTTTAACATTTAAACAATGCCAATGTTTTTTAATTAACTGTGCAAAAAATAATAAAAAATTATTATAAACTTAAGATACTTTAACGAATTATTTAAATACAGTTTTTTATTGCTGTATGGGAAGCTTAATAACAGCACTGTGTATATATATGTACCTATGTATGTATGTATGTATGTATGTATGTATGTATGTATGTATGTATGTATGTATGTATGTATGTATGTATGTATGTATGTATGTATGTATGTGTATATATATATATATATATATATATATACATACATACATACATACATACATACATACATACATACATACATACATACATACATACATACATACATACATACATACATACATACATACATACATACATACATATATCGACAAACCTGCATACATTTAGCATAAAATAGTGAGAAAAACAAATGCCAAGTTTGCTGACTTTTATATCAAACATCTGGATTTAAAATTTGACAAACAATAAAACATTTGTTTCGCTAATTTTTTTTCAATTATTTTATTTATAATTAATAAAAACATTTGTTTTTTTGTTTTTATATTAATTGTATTGCTTTTAATTTAAATAAAACATTCAATTTTCGGATGCTTTTTTTAATTATTATTTTGAATTTAATAAAAACATTTGATTTATCATTTTTATCTTTTTAATTTAATATAAAATTTAATTATATTTTTAATAACTAATTAATTTTAATTAAACTCAATTTTAATTATTTTAGAATTAAATTAAATTCTAAACAAAGTGGTTAAAATAAAAATAAATTTATTTAAAAAACGCAACGTTAAAATAAACAACTTATTTAGTTAAATAAAATGTTCTTTTCAAATTAATTTGTTTAGAATTGAAATAAAAAGTTTTTGTTTTGTTTTGTTTTTATTTTACCTATTTTATTTAGACTTTAAATAAAACATTTTTCTGTTAAAATTCTAACTATTTTATTTAGAGTTTTTATAAAACATTTGGTTTGCTGTTTTTATTTTAATTATTTCATCAAAAAATCAAATAAAATGTTATTGATGGTTGGCATTCAGCAATGACCTGACAGTAATATATATATATATATATATATATATATATATATATATATATATATATATATATATATATATATACATATATATACATATATATATATACATATATATATATATATATATATATATATATATATATATATATATATATATATATATATATATATATATATACATATATATACATATATATATATATATACATATATATATATATATATATATATATATATACATATATATATATATATATATATATATATATATATATATATATATATATATATATATATATATATATATATATATATATATATATATATATATATATATATATATATATATATATATATATACATACATATATACATATATACAACAAAGGCATTTCAATAAACTTTTTTTACAAATACTTTTTTATAATTTAAATAAAGTTAGTTTTTTATTAAACATTAATTAGATTTTTTTTTTTATTTAAAAGAGTTTCCCTAATATTATAAAAACGTTAGAAAAAATCAAAGTTGGTTTTAAAAGGTGTTGTTGCGTTGATTTTAAAAGGTTAATAACTGTTTGGGAAAGTTCTTAAAAAATCTTTTTATTTTTTAATGATTAATAAAAATTATTTATATATATATATTTTTTATTTGTTTATGTATTCTTTTTTTGATTGATATATATAAATATAGAAATAAATAAAAAATAATCATATAACTATTTTTATTTATGGTGATAAGTTTATTTGGTTAGATTATGAAACTTTATTGATAGTGTAAATGCATTTTTATAGACAGATTCAAAAAGATAGTTCAGAGTTGCATTGTTGTCAGGTGGTGGGTTCCATTTCAATTAGTGTTTTTTTGCTTTTGTGATACAGTGATATTAACATTGTTATTTGTCCAGCCAGACTGTAACCAAGCCCACTAGCCAGAACATGTGTTTCAGGCTCTGTGAGTTAATGGTCGGAAAGGTTTGTAATGATTTTATTGTTAAGAGTGGAAGTTGTTAAAGATAGCTCTTCTTTGATACGCCTATTATACTCACTCTTTGTGAGATGGTTATGTCCATTATTTGGGAAAAGACTTTTCATTCTAAAAGGATTGAATATATGTTTGTTTTTTGATGCAGTAAAACGATATTCCTTGCTAGTGGATAAATAGCAGAATAGCGGATAGTGCTAGTATATGGTATTTAAAATCAACAGTAAAAAAAAAGTAATAAATGAAACTAAGGTTAACAACATACAGATCTAAGCAACATTGAATGAAGAAAATGCCTTCAGAGCAAATGGTCATACAGACCTTGTTTTAAATAAAAAATGCTTAAGGCATTAATGAGATATTTGACGCCATAAAACTCTCTTTATCTTTTTATTTTTTAAAGATACTAACTTTTTTAAATTTAAAATGATTTTTTTTTAAATTTCTAATTGCAGCTTTGCAACTACAAATGATTTTTTATTTTTAAAAAACTAGCAAATAACAAATAAAAAAATTAAGTTAATTTATTTACTTTATTTATTTAAAGTTTATTAGTTTATTAAAAAATAATTGAAGCGATTTAACTTGCGTTATATATAATCTTAAGTTTTGTGCAAACTTTTGATGCAGCCATTTATTTAAAATTTAATTTTGAGTAAAAAAAAAATTTTCAGGAAGAAAAATCGAAAAAACAATTGCAATAAAATAAGCTGATTTTTTTTTTAAGAACAAAAAAAAATTTAAAAATTTAACAATATTATTTTAAAATAGATTTGACAGTTAAGTGGATGTTAATGCTTGCATTAACTTTGATTTTAATAAACTTAAATATATTTTTTAAAGCAAAATTAAATCATGTATTCTTTTTATCAGAACAAAATTATATAATTTTATTAAATTAGTTTTAAATTAAATCATATATTTTTTATCAGAATCAAATTATGCTTTTATGATCTTTGCTTCAAACTTAAAAAATCAATCATTACAATAAAATAAAAACAAAATAAAATAAAACTTTTAATTTTATTTGAGTTTTTTTATTAGTGAATATTTACTAATAAAAAAGTTCATTATTTAAATTTATTATTTTAATAGCGCTTATTATCAAACATAATTGTCAAACTTTTGTAAGAAAGATATTTAAATAAACGCCTTTTAAAAGTTAATGTGACTTTTTTTAAAATTAATTACTTCTTTCGTTTTATAGTCAAATTAAAAATTTTAAAAATGCTTATAGTAAAATTAAAAATTTTAAAAATGATAAAAAGTCACTTGACCGAAATCGCTTATGGCTTATGTAATAATCGCTTAAGGTGTACGTAAATCGCTCTACGCTTAATGCTTTAAAACAAACTGGTCATAGCAGCCTGAACTGTAAGTAGTTAAATTTCCCTTTAAGAACTTAATCACTCACTAACTTAAAACAACAATAACAATAAAAGTAGCTAGTCTGGAAGATAAAAAAACCATCTGTCACTTGTGTAATGTAAACAAGTAGATTAGTATGGCATGTAAGTCCTTACTGTGTATTATGTATGTGTTATATTTTTGTATGTAATTACTTACATAGGGTGGATCATAATAGACCATGTATGCATATTAGGGTGTCCCAAAAAAAAAAAAAAAAAAGCTCTCTACTGATTCCCATTCTATGTGACCTAAATAAGTACTAAAAAAAATTTGACGGTTTTATTTTGACAGGAAGTGCTAGATGTAAAATCTGAGTTTTACTGTTTTAATGTTAAGCTAGCTTAACATTAATAGAAAAAACATTTTAGAAAATTAAAAAAAAACAATTGTATGCGTATAAATCATTTCCAATTGTTTTCTACTATTTAACTTGATAGATTATATTTATAAATATGAAAATACAAAAAAAATACATGAAAACTAATATTTATTAGCAAATTTAAGATTTTATTGCGGTGAAACATTTCTCAAAAAATACAACTTTTTGAACAGTTCCCAAGCTCCTTTTTAGTCATAGTCTTAGTCAAGTTTTTTCTAGACATTTTAACTACAAAAAGTACATTTTAAAGGTGATCTTCATCTCTAGTAGCAGAAATAAAATCTTTAATGAGCTTAATGTTTCTTTCTGCATTATCATTTACAACAGATATGTTTTTGATCCATGCAATAAAATCTAGCAACTGAGGATGGTTAAAAACATCTATAGTATTAAGACTATTATTAAGCCATTCTTTTATACTTGCTCTTGATATTTTAAAATGTTTGAAGAGAAGGTTGCTCTGCTTGTAAATCAACTCAGATAGCTTTGTAATCTCTCCAATTTGTACATTTGATGGTTTACAACATTGAAATTCATTTTGTTCTTCAAACTCAATCAGAGCTAACAGCATTCTTAGCTTTGATACAGAAGGAATTTCTTTATCCCAAAAGAACAAAACACAGAGTTGAGGAGTTAAGTACCACGTATGGCGTCCCATGCTCAGAAGCAAAGCATTTCCAATATTTTTACTGACTTTTCTCAATGTATAGGCTGTCTGTTAGCTTTCAAATCATTGTAAGGAGCCAGAAATCCTAAAAATTTTTTCAAAAACCATGAAACATAGCAAATTGCAATGAACAAACTTGCATCCTCTAACTGCAGCACTTCTTTTTCTGTCAAGATATTACTGATATCTTTAGTCATATAAAGAGTCAGGATGTAGATCGCATCTGCTAAAAACCTTGCCTCATGGCAGGCACCAGGTTGATGGAACTTAAAATCTTGTACTTCCACTCCAAGGAAGAAGGAGGCAAGCTTACAAACTATACCATAATCATCCCTTGAAAACACTATATCAGTAGTTGCATTAGTCAAAAATGTCTTAGCTTCCTCTGCAACAGTGCAAAGAACAGAGCCAATCTTCAGATCATCTCTTTGCCAGTCCAATTTACATAAATTTTTCACTTCATTCACTTTCTCACAGATTTCAGGCCACTTGTTCTTTAGCTTGACATAAAGAGCTCTTCTTGGACCTTTAGTTTTCTCACCAGTAAGATCAGCCATTTAGTGAGATACATGTACTTCATATATGTGTCTCCTACACATTATCCACAAAATTGGTATTTTCAAAATATCTGTAAGAATTTGGACTGCTCCATTGATTCCGCCTGTATTGCTTGCAGTTGTATCACAGCATATACCAATGATCTGCTCTTTACATCTGTAATATTCTAAAAGATTGTGCACTTGTTCTGCTTGGTCAACTCCCTTTGAAGAGGGACATTGAACAACACCTAAAAGATGGTCTTCCATGGTATCGTCATCCAGGGAACTCACTGAGACTGCAAGTCGCTCAATTTTTTGAATAATGTTAAGCCCAGTGGTAATTTGTTCCAACAGTTTGGTATCAAAATGAAGAATAAGCCGTCGGCCTTTAAGATGATTAGATATTGAAATCCACTCCGAGTCTCCTTCAAGTTCTACATATTTGAACTTTTTTCTATGAAGTGTGCTTCGTGAAAGCGGTATATCATTAATTTCTATACCTCCAGCTTTAAATACTTCACTTCAAATTGCCAGATGAGGTCGTACACCAACATTGAACCTTGTTGCTGGAATAGCAGTACATTCAATGAGCTTTTCAACATTCACTGCTAGATTTATCTTATCTCCAGAATTGTACCTAGGTATCATTTCATAATATTTTTCTACCTATTTATAATTATATACTTTTCAATAAAACAGCTTTAGCTTGTGAAAATTACAACTATGTTATTAAAATAATACTATACCTGCGTTTCTGACCGTTACCCAGGAAATCATCTTCCTCGCTGATTTCAGAGTCCTCGTTTGACTTTTCTTATTCACTGCTGAATTGAATCTCTTCTGTCATGGAGTCATGTGACAACAAAATATCATTGATATCTTTTAAGTTTTTCTGTCTCTCTAATTCTTTCTCTCTCAACTTATCTAGCTTGTTCTTTCTCCTGTTTGCATCCAGTACTCTTCTACTGTAGTCTTCATCGACTTTTGTTTCCATATATCCTTTCCTATGTAACTTCTGGTCTTCATAAAAACTAAGAAATATTTAAATCTATTAAGCCATTTATAAATAAATTAATAATTGTTCTAGTTTTTCTTGGAAGATGACCAAACCATGTAAAGAGTTAAACGTAAATATTTTAAAGAAAATAATGTGCTTAATTACTTAAGTTACTTTTTATTGGAAAAAAAATCTCACTACTAAAAAAAGTGTTATTTAATGAACTTACTTTATATCTTCCAGCTTGGCATCATCTGTTCTCAATCTATCAGCAAAAATATCTTTTTTAAAATTCTTAGTCGAGATGTCAAAAAGCTGATAGGATTCTGTGAGAAAATCTTTCTCTAACTTTGATTGCTTATCAAGACTGCTGTTCCAGTTTAGAGAAGACAATTTAATCAATTTCTTGTATTTTAAATTAAGTTTAATGATTTTAGTCTTTATATTGTACCCACAAATCACAAATTTCTTGCCAAACCCAGCATTATCCCCGATTTTTTTAATCCTAGATACCAAGCAAGAATTATCAGGATCTGTACAAACACCATTTTCACAAACAAGATCCTTGGATTTCGATTTCAATTTGCAACCAACATTAGTAGAAGTGGGTTTGTATTTAACTTGTGACTCGCGAAGGATAAATTGATAGTATCTAAGAATATCACCATTAGATGGAAGCTGTCTCTGAGGTAACTCCCTCAGTGGGTACTTCAATAGGTAAATATACCTCAACCTTTCTGTATTTTTCCGTTTTTTCTTATTCTGTCCTATCATCTTCTTTTTTTTAGCTGTTCTACCCATCTTTATATGAATTTCGAAATAATCAGTTTTTTAACTAAATTTTTACTAAATGTTACACTTGCACCAAAAATCTATGAAGTCGTTATTCCCTCTCGTATAATATTTTATCTAAGTTTACCGTTACGGCTTTTATAACCGTTTACACGGTTATAGAATGGGGATCAGTTGAGAGCACATTGAAATTTTAAAAAAAGTGTGTTTTTGGGACACCCTAATGCATATAGATGCAAAGGAAAAATAAATATCTATCAACATTCTATATCTAAGGATGCAGAATGTTAAATGCATATAAATCATTAAATATAACAAGAAGCCGTAATAAGATAACTAATTTTTAATAACAATTACAACAACCAAATGATCTGTATACTGAACAGTTATAAGTATTGTTTAAATTATTGTTCTATAAGTATTGGAAAAAAAATCAAAACAACTTTTCTTTTTTAATTATTAGAGTTATTACACCTAATTGTATAGTAAAAGAAATATTTTATAAGAAAATTTAATTTATTAAAAAAAAATAAGCTTTATTAAAAATAAATAAGTCAAGAGTCAAATCTTCAGAAAAAAACTCAAAACCAATTGCAAATTTCATGAGTTTTAAAAAAAATGTATTCATTTATATGCTTATACATATTTTAAAATTGTTGCATTTCAAAGATTTGTTCCCTAAAGGGAACCATATGTTGTTAAGGATTAAATTAAACTGTTAATCATTGCCATATTTTAACTAAACTACAGAAAATTGGTAAATTAAAAAAATGTTTTTAAATTATATAGCAGTAACTTAGTAATTGGGAAGGAGGGGGTAGGGTGTTCACGGGGTTTTGATTTTGTAACAATTTGTACATACACAGTGCAAGAGGAGGTTTCTCTAACATTTGGTTAACTTTCCTTAAAAAGCCTAACTTAAATTGCTCATTGACTTTCTTCAATGGTGCCTTTTACCTTAATGTATAACTATTTTAATTATAAAGGGAAAATTATGATAGCATTTCTAACCTAATAAATGTACATCTTAGCTATCTAACTTATTTAACTCTAATTAATTTATTTAACTCTCTCCATATTTTGCTTTGATTACTGTTGTGACATTTTCATACATAGGTATGATAGTTCAAAAACTAATTACCTCAAAGCATACCACTGCTCTGAAATTTGACCGCCAAGTTAAATTTGTGTTAATTAAAAACTTTGATTTTTTTATTCTCTACTAATATATATTAATTGAGAACAACTAAGTTTAAAATCGAAATCCCATGCTAAGTAACAAACAAGAAAGCAGGTATTTTTTACATGGTCACTAGTTCTAAATTCCAAAAGATTTTATGATGAAATTTGAAATCAAATGATAAATTTTGATGTTATTTAAGCCTTCAAAATCTTATTCCCCTAGACGATTTTGTTAGGGTATTACTGTTCCCAAGCTTTAACTACCACCTTTTAACTCATCCTCATTTGAGACTGGTAACTAGAGTACTTTAAATAAATAATAAACGCTAAAAAATCTTTACTCTACATGTGATATAATTCACAACAAAATGACTACAACACATATCAACACAGATATTATTATTTGATTCTGCTTGTATTAAAATCAATAACAGTTTTTTTTTTAATTTTCTTTATGTTTCAAATCAATTGTTTATTAATCATATTGGTATAATTTGACATTTTTTTGTTAGACATCCATCATTATAATTATCAGCCCAGTAATCATGATTTCCAAATGTTCTAAGATCTCCAGAAGTCAATGAGCATAATTATGTACAGTACAGACATGCATATTTTTCAGTTAAAATAACATTTTACAATGACACTTTTTTTATCATGCAACAATGAGAAAAATCGTAACTTTCTGAAGCATAAAAAAGACAAATTAATTTTAGTACTAAAGATATATTTTAAATAAACTTTCAAGTGTCTACATCAATATTCATTTGATAAATTTTGACAAAAAAGAGAATAAAATTTAACTACTTTTTCATTTTCTGTCATGGAATTACCCATATACTACTTAAATGCAATATATATATATATATATATATATATATATATATATATATATATAATCCTTGGAATTACAAAAAATGAGGTCGGCAATAATTTACAACCCTCGGAATTAGGAAAAATGAGGTCAACCCTGATTCCGAGGAATGTATATATATATATACAATTCTCCTAATTAGGGTCGGCAATGCCGACCTAACTGCCGACCTAAACATCTTTGTGGTCGGCAAAAAAAATTTGGTTTTGCCGACCTCGTTTTGATGTTTTATGGTAAGACCTTTGCATTTGCGACCTGATGCTGACCTCTAAAAGAAAGAGGTTGGCAATATATATATATATATATATATATATACATATACATATACATATATATGTATATATGTATATATATATATATATATACATATATATATATATATACATATATATATATATATATATATATATATATATATATATATATATATATATATATATAATATATATATATATATATATATATATATATATATATATATATATATATATATATATATATATATATATATATATATATATATATATATATATATATATATATATATATATTAGGGTAGGTCGATTTTAGCTTTTTTTTTGAATTTTGAGTTGTGTAATGTTGCAGTTACTGTGTCTAGGTTATAAATGAGGTTTTACCAAATCTCAAGTATTCTGGTTTAAAAATGGCTTGTGGATTTGCATTTTAAGTCTTAATTTTGGACTAGTTTTGTTAGATTGTTTATTTCAAACGTTGCAAAATTTTATTTTAAGTCTAGTAATCTTGTTTTAAAATATCTCGTTTTGAGTTTTGATCTTTTGATCTAAAATATCTCGTTTTGATCTTTTAATATCAAAAGTAAATACTTATGATTATTATATTTAGAGTAATGTTTTAAACTGTTTATATTACTTTTAAACTGTTTTAAACTGTTTATATTATTATATTTAAGTTTTGATTTGCAATTTCTGAAGTAGATTAAAATATAAAACTTTTCGATGGAACTAATGGTTTTACTCAATTCCTGAGTTTCCTGAATTCATGGCCCCCAAATCTTTTCAAAAGAGTTTTGATTCTTTATTTTTTATCAAAGCAGGTTTTTAATAGTAAGTTTTGATATTTTAGGTTTTTTTGATGCTTTGGCCCCCACTAAAAACTCACGCTGTTGCCCATTACTCTAAGTGTAATACTTTAATACAGTTTTCATATATAATTAATCTACAAAAATGCCAAAAGTAAAGGTTGCAATTACACGGATGAAAAGTGAAAAAAAATATTGTGGCAGCCCATGTGAACTATCAACGACAGATCCAAGCACTTTTAGACAGGTTATTCAGTATAATTACTATCTTATTCATATAAATCCAAATGCAGATATCGTATTAGTGACTTAGCAAATTAGCATTAATATAAAATCAATTCGGGCTACAGTAAACCCAAGATTACCTCTTATAACTGAAAAATCTATTAATAGGAAAGTTAAAGATCTTCTCGTACTTGTTAAGGGTATTAATCGCAAGTACGGAAAAGCAAGCGCTAAAAGAAATCTTGATGCAAACTTGGACAAACTTTTTGATCTTTTTGCGTGTTCCTGTTCATTAGATGTGTTTCCCTGTAGTGACAGAAAAGTTTCATGTAATAAAGAAAATTGCATCAAAGAACATATTGTATGTCTTTGTTCTCAAAGTAATAAAGTACCTCTGGAAGACAGAGCTTATCTTCGTGATCAGAGGAAAAAAATTTGTTTAAAAGGTGCATATCAACTTTCTTCTTGACTTGATAAAGAACGACAAAAAATATCTCATAACCTAGTTAATGAAGATGAACAAGTAAACTTAATTGAAGAAACAAGTGGTTTAACCAATACAAAGGTAAATATCTTATAAATACATAAAATATTTGTAACAGATAAAACAGAAAGCGTTTTATTTTATTAACGCTTTTTAGGATGAAGGTGAATGGAAACCAGTAAATAATCCTATTGGAAAATACAACTTAGTTAAACTTTCAAGATTTGCAATGGAATTAGTCAGAAATGAGTGTTCGGCAAACGTAGGTGCAGTCCTTGCAAATGCTTTACTACATGACATAAAACATCTCTTAAAAAATGACGTTGATATTAAAGATATTTTGATTGACAAATGCAAGTTAGATAGGGCCAAGTCAAAAGTAAAAATCGTTAATGAAGAGGTGGACTCAGAACAAAAACAACAGTTAATTTGTCTTAGAGTTGACAGCAAGCTCAATCAAATAACTAAAACAAGTATAGTAATAAACTTACCTCAAGGAGAAGTAATAAAGAAATGCATTGAACTTGAACATCAACTCACATTTACTTATGAAGATGGAAAATCGAGTGAAAAATTATTTGACTCATAGAACGATTCCTGTCACCGGTGCTACAGGTTTAGTTCTTGCTACCGAAACGTTTAGTGTTTTACAAGAACTTAACAGTTTGGAAAGTATACAAGCTGTTCTTCTTGATAATACTGCTACCAATACTGGACCAATAAGTGGCTTAGTCTAGCTATTCGCCTTCTCTGTTTGTATACTAGAGACAATTAACTAACTGTTTCTTTAAAAAAACTCGTATGTTTTATTGTTCAAGTTTACGCTCCAGCGTGGTTCGATATAAAAAAATCTTCAAAATTTCACGAATCCCCGCACCTTATTTTTTCTATTATCACTAGAATAAATAATCTCCCCTTTGATGATGTTAAACATATTGTTAAAAAAAAACATTAAAAACTATGCATTGTGCCTAAAACCTGAAAATATTCTTTATGCCATGTTAAAAGATAATGACAGCAAGATACAAAACTTTGGTTTTCAAATCCAACTGGGTCTAAGGCAAAGGTATTTTATTATAGTAAACTAAAATAAAGTTTTGAAAAAAAATGATACATTAAATGTGGTAATTGGATTTGATTTTTATTTGTAGAGTAAACAACGAAAGTTTGGAAAAAAATTCAAG